CACCATAGGTCCCTATTTCTCAAAAATGTACTAAGTAAACGGGATCGGGTACTCTAAGTAAAAATGTTCAGGACCCCAAAAACCTCACGTCGGGACCTTATATTATTATATATAAAAAAAAAATTCTTAATACCCGAACCCTAACCCTAAATTTTATTAAAAATAATTATATATGGTGCTAAAACACCATAGGTGCGTTTTATAATAATTGAATATATTTAACGTAACACAATCAGAGCTAAATATGTAAAATATTAAGCTAAAAATTAAATTATAAATTTTTTAAATCTATATCTTTTAAATAAAATTTAAAATTTCTTTTTTTCCTTTGTACCAAGCGCACTTATTTTGTCAGTAAACTTTGACTATCTCACTTAAGTATACCAACTATTTCAAGGCACATACCGGCTAATCCTTTAAACCCAACTTACTAATCTGAACAACTAAGTCCATCATGTAGATGTCCCGGATCCCTAAATCCCGCGGTGTTTCAGTTCCTTAGTTTTTATGTTCAGCGTTCGGCTGGATAGATCGCTCAAGAAGTTGGGTACATGCCGATCTTTCGACTCCCAGTAGGACAAAGATTTCCTCAACCATCGGAGGTTCCGTCAAGGGTTTCGTAATCGTCGGGGATTTCGTTGCTTCGTCAGACGAAACCATGGCGAATCCATTTCGTCATTGAATAAATAATTTCGTCAGGCATCATTAACCACAATACATTTTTTTTTTTTTTTTTTTAAAAAAAAAGTGCTTACAAATTTATTTGAGTTTTTTAAATATACTTATAGAATTTATTTTAAAATATGTGTATTTATAGATATTGTATGTTGTTATAAGAGATCGAACTATACCTATCAATACAATAGCAAAAAATTTAGCTTATCCAAAATTGTCTTATCGCGAAAATTAATAATCGAGTTTTCGTGAAAATTTTAAGTTTTTTTGGCCGGTAATAAGCACTCATGTCTTGTGTGGACTAAATGGTTTGATATGAGTCTACTTTTGTAATTGGGCGGCCAATTACTATTAAACTTATTTGACTATTGTAATTATTACATCAGCCTCTATTAAACAAAACCACAAATAAAACTAATCCATCAAACCAACCTCCCATCATAACTCGTTTTTTATTAAACAACTATTACAACAAACTTATTTTCCCACCTACAATAAATATCTTTATGGTCATTAACTTACACTAACGTATGTGTCATATACTATAAGAAAGATCCGTCGAAAAGAGCCAAAGAGAGTTCACTATGTTCCATTGGAGGAAGTGTAGAACTCAGGAATCTTTCTTACTCTTCGTCTCCGTACATTATGTTTTATAGAATTAAATCTGGTGACTTTGAATCTAGGAGTAAGGCCAGTTACGTCACTTTTCGGAACAGGCAAATTAATATCATTATCGACCTGTGAGGCGGTGTTTTCCAACGTATGCTCAGGATTTTCTGAAGTAAGAATATGTTCTGTAATAATTGAGTTTGTCTTAGAAATGATATAAATTAACAGTATGCGTCCAAAATTAAACTAAAATAAGAAAACATTAAAGCTGAACAGTGTCATTTAGTATAGATTAGGGCAGAGGCTATAGGCAAAATCGCATCCTCAATCCTTTATAGGTCATACAGACTTAATAAATCTGTTTTCATAACCCGTCAGGGTCAAATTTTAAAGTATATTTACTATCCGGATAAGTTTTTTAAAAAAATCTATAAAAAAAATTTTGAAAATAAAATCAAAAGCCGGATTGTTAGTAAAAATTTTATGTTATGAAAACCTGATTTTATTAAGTTTGTATGGCTTTAGTGTTAAAAATACCATTCTCGTATTTTTTTCATTGAGATGAGACGATACATTTACTAGCTTTAATGATCTCTAAATGAGGGTGCTTATTTTCGATTAATTTCACTATCTAATCTTTTATCAAATCAAATAAGTGATACCTCGAGAACGCTTATGTACTCCTAACATATCAGATTTAACTTCTAACGTTTCATTCAGTTTAGTAGGCGAATTTTCTTTGTTGTATTCAACCTTTGGCATGTTTTGTTCAGTTTCAGAAAAATTTGTCACAGCTAAAGATGGATTAATATTTTCATGATCGTTATTACATTGCTCATCTGGGCATATGATATAAAAATTATAAACACTTAATTTAGATTAATTTAGAATAATACAGTAATTACCAATTATTTTGGATAAATTATCACTATATGGAGTTGATTGCACTGTTATTTGATTATCGAAATCGCAATTTGTTTTTGCCAGTAAGCTATCAAGATCACACAAAATACTATTTAATTTAGGACGTTTTTCTGGCTCCGAGGACCAACATTTCATATAAATATCTGCATATTCTTGGGGTGTGCCAGGAATCGTCTTCTCTCGTTCACCAATAAAGATTCTTACAGAAATAGCGGAATTATTCGTTGAATCTGAAAATGGGTGTGTCCCACTTGTAAGCTCCCACATCAACACACCCAGACTGTAAATGTCAGACCGTTCATCACGTTTAACTTTTTTTCCATATTGTATAAAACATTGTGGTTCAATATATGCAACCATATAGTTCATTTCGTTTATTTGATTAGATATTCCGAAATCAGCAATTAAAGGTTTACCATTGTTCATTAAAATATTTTTAGAGTGCTAGTGAGGTTTTAAATAAAATGACTTAAAATTTAGTAAAAACAATCAAATTTAATTAAATATAAAAAACCATACTAGATTTTTATGAATAAATCCTTTTTCGTGTAAGTGACTTAACCCAAGGCTTATTTCTTTTGCAATTTGAATGGTTTCATTCCATGAATTTTTAAAAACACTATCTTGCAGTTTGCTTTGTAAATAATCGCGTAGACTTCCGTCATTTGCAAATTGTAATACCATTATAAAATACCCATTATTGGATCTATGGTTTATTAAATTATAGTTTGTTAAGTGTGAATAAATTTATGACTTATATTTTCAAAATCGATGACTTTACGTTCTGATGTTCCATGGAATTTAATTACATTAGGATGCCTGACTGCATAAAGAGCTTTAAGCTGCAATATAATTACTAGAATTTAGGCACGTGATGTGGTTATTTATATGCGTTCGGAGTATCCTCTCAGATGCAAAACGACAAATTAACTTACACAAACGCATTAAATAAAACGAATAAACCTATTTTTATATTAAAGTTTCCTATCAAATCGTTTCACGTATTAAGTGAGGATAATTCTTCGTAAATAATTTAGCCCATTTCTTTCTTATATTTCAATTTTTCTATTTTACTTTCGAAAACAAATAGGCTTGCTGTATAAATATATCTATTAATAATCGCTATGCAGAAACCGGACGAGAAATCCTCTATTAATTCTTCATATATCCCAATTTTAATCGATTTTAAGCCCACATTTCCACCAAAAATTACCAACGACGATTTAGTTTCGAAGTCAAATGCATTTATTATTTATAGAAGGGTTTTTAACAGAGAAATATCTGAATTAAAGCATAATATTTCTTTAGAGGAAATATCCGGGAAAGTTTCCGAAAGCTGGAATAAAGAACCTGAACTTTTTAAAAATTTTTATAGAAAGCTCGCTAATCCAAGTATCATTAATGGCAGCAATGGTCAAAAAAAATAATATGGACGAAGAAAGTATTAACGGTGACTCTGAATCTTTTCTGATCACTAGTGCACATTCTGCGCCAATCACTAAGAACTATGATCCTTTTTGGTTATTTCCAAGTCTAATAGACTGTCTTCATATCCATATAGAAAACCTTATAACAAAGCTGCAAGGAACAATGACTACAATTTGAAAATGGCCAATAAAGTTGCAGCCATATATAAAAAAATAAAAATAATCATCTTTATTTAACTGAGATTACATTTGAATCTCTTATCAAAGAAACCAGAAAAAATAAAGGCGACAAATGTAATACATTTAACGACAAGATAAAAACGTTATTGAGAAAATATAATATAAGGAAGGTTAAACTTTCGCAATCGCAAATTAACAAACATCAACTCATTGGTAGAGGTGGATCAGCGAATGTGTTGAAAAATGTGCGTTAAAAAGCCTTGATCTTAACATAAAATGGAGTGTCAAAAATTTTAAAATATTCCTTAAAGAGGTAATGTTTGTTTATTTTCGTCTTATTACGATTAATCAAAATTAATAAATTTGATATTTTCCAGCTAAGATTCCTTCGCGGTATTAATCACCTTAATATTATTAAATTCTATGGGGTGTCAAAAGGTTCGAAATAATTAAAATGGGGCACATTTAAATTATATTTTATCTAAATTTATTTTTTTGTTATAGATCCACGGTCTGGGAATTTTAATATTATATTACAGCATGCCAATAATGGAAATTTACGAGATTATTTGCAAAGTAAACAGTCTGAAGAAGGTTTTAAAATCCCATGGACAGATCTTATACAAATTGCAAAAGGAATAACGCTTGGACTAAAATGTCTACATGAAAACAAATTTATTCATTTGGATCTGGTATGAAAATGAAAATTTTAAACACAGCCGTCCCTCATTAATATCAACCTAATTTATAAACCAATTTCCATATATTAAAATTCCCTCATATGCGTATAACAACTTAATATGATCCCTTATTAATATCACTATCAACATGAATATAAATTTATTAGCCCCTAGCCAATGAAAATCTAGAATTGAAAATCACATGATATATCCTTAGCTTAGCATATATAAACAAAAATATAATAATCAGAACTCAATTTTTTACTAAGTAGACATATCTTCTACTTTTAATAAAAGTTGTAGAGGACATTTCTAGGACATTAATGGTGGCAAGATTAACGAATTTAGCCCATTGGGTCAGGAGATATTTCCGGTTTACGTTTCAAGATTATAAAATTTCTTTACAAAATATTTTTATAATCGTGAAGCGTAAAATGGGAATATCTCGTGATCTAACGGGTCAACGTCGATGATATTATCTTACAACCATTAAAATCGTAGAAATGTCCTCTATAATTTTTATTAAAAGCAGGAGATAGATTTACTTAGTAAATAATCGAGTTAGGATTGATTAAATGATTATCTCTGTTATCTACCCCAAAGATGTCAACATAATTTTCCAATCCAAATGGGTTGATATTAATGAGGGACAACTATAAAATTAAACAGGTTAATTTATATCAAATTCTAAACTAAGTTTGCTTTAAATTTTATTAGCATTCGAAAAATATTTTAATAGACGATGATAAACCTTTGATCGCAGATTTCGGCATATCCAAACATATTGAAGATTATTCATCAACTTCTTGTTTAAAAGGTATGACTGCATATGTTGAGCCACAGTGCTTTATTCAACATGGGGAAAAAGTTAAGCGTGATGAACGATCTGATATCTATAGTCTGGGTGTATTGCTGTGGGAACTTACAAGCGGAACATTTCCATTTTCAAATTTAGAGAATTATGATTATAGTTCTATTTCCATAAAAATTTTCCTTTATGAACGAGAGGAAATGACACCACAAGGATACGCAGATCTTTATATGAATTGTTGGTCATCTTATCCAGAAAACCGTCCTAAATTAGATAGTATTTTGTGTGATCTTGAAAGATTATCAACAGAAACAGCTGTTAAATTTATAATAAACGTCTCTAATAAATCAACTAAGTGAATAAACCGAGTATTATAGATTGACTTAGCTTAGAATGAATGCTATCTAACATAACAAGGTATCAGGATATTGGCTGCCATTTTGGAAATATTTAATTTGGTGGTCTTATTTATGGTCAGATTTAATTTTGAAAGTGTTTCAGAATTGCACCCGGTGTTATACATGGAATATTTTTTTCTTTTTTTTTTTCTTTATTTAGTATTTCATTATTTTTATCAAAACCCCCGAGGGAGTATAAAACCCCGGAAGGAGTCTAAAACCCCCAAGGAAGTCTAAAACCCCCCGAGGGAATTCAAAACCCCAGACAAAATTTTCTGTTATAAAAAGGATGGGTTTCAGTTTTAAATAAGGGTAGTTATCCGACATTTACTATGATAGTGCTGCCAAAATAAATCGAGTTATTTGGCAGTGATACGTCATCTGCACAATAACTTCGTTATTTGGCAGTTTATGTAATCACTACCAAAACTCGAGTCATTTAGAAGCACAATCGTCGTAAACCATCGGATAAAACCGTTATTGAATGCTACGCTAGCCAATAACTCCTATGAATTATTTTACAAATAATTCTCGTTATTGGCTGCTTCGCATCCAATAACTATATATTATCGCTCACAATAGTTTACGGTTTCAGTTGTAATTATGTTTGGGCATAATTCAAATGTATTAGATTCATTTTGACAAACTTTAATAAAAGAGAAACCTTTAACCCGTAAATCTTAAGTCAATTTATAATTTTTTTAAATAAGCTATTAAACTCGTAACTCTACCTACGTAATCCAAAACTCTAAATTATCTATCACGTGATATTCATAACATAAATCATAGCTAAATCGGACTCTAAGCTGTAGTAAATTAACTCAGCTACAGTTTGGCGGCTTTCTTTTCTTTGTATCTTTTTTACATCGTAAGTTATTGGCTTTTGAAATTATTTTAGTCTACAAAAGTCATGCTCTGTATTATGTTTTACTAAACTTTACATTTATTAACTCATTAATTTATTAATAATATTTGAAAAATGGTTTAATTCACCAATAAGTACGATAAAGCAGGTAATAAACACCCATGTCTACATATTGGTAATCGGTAATCGTGTGATGTACAATTGGATTACCGTATAGTTCCAAAAATAAGCACCCCCGAAAATAAGCACCCCATAATTTTTTTATATCCGAAAATAAGCACCCCTATAACAAAAAAGGGTGCTTATTTTTGGAACTATACGGTAATACGTTAATCCTCGACCACTATATCAAGATAATGGGAATTAATGAATAATATTCTGATCCATATTTCGCTAATTCCTAACAGAACAGGATATTATTATTACTAATCATTTTGAGCTAAAATATTCTAATATATAGAGTCTGAAAAAGTATATACCGTATAGTTCCGAAATTAAGCACCCCCCGAAATTAAGCACCATCAAATTTTATGTAATATCCGAAAATAA